TAGCCTCACAGTCAGTCCTGATGGTAAGTATTCACTATTGTACCACAAGAGTCTTATCTCCATTTCCTATCACCAGTCCAGTCCCAACAGATTGGAAATCATTCAGTGGAGGTTCTACCTACCCCTGCCCTGTCTGGAACTAGGTTCCCTCTTGAAAACTTGTAAGACAGTCATTTCTTGCCTTTATAGGCCTACCCCCTTTCTGGGTAACCAGTGCCTAAGTAGCCCATCCCTGTCAACTCTGTGTACTGAGGGGGTGGGAGTGATCCTTGCTGTAAAGATTTGTTCCCTTTTTTGAGCTACTACATCCATATGTATAGGTAAAGTTCATAAAATTGTAGTGGGTTACTTTTTTTCTCTTCCCTCTTTCTTCTTCTAGTCGAGTTTAGATCATCCAGTCATTGAAGCCAGATCAAGTGGGTACTTCAAATATGGGTGTTCTTGTGCATCTCCCCTCACTTCATATCAGCTGGATGCTTCAATCTCCACTCGTCTTCTGTGGCCATGCCACTGCCTCTGGGCCCCGGAGTCCCCGGGTCTTGCCATATTGCTAGCCATCCAGGTCTCCACCCAGGTTCACAGGGGTCTATTGAATGTGGTCAGGCTTAGCTTGCAACTTCATTGCTGTTTCTTCCCCCTCTTCCCCTTATCCATGACAAATGTGGTCACCTACCAGGCCACATGCCTGCTTATGTATTCCCCTTGAGTCTCAGACTTGGAAGGGGGTTTTCTCTGAGAGGTTTCGACAAGTTGCCTTGATGGCTCCTGGGCAAACAGCTTACTTGTTCTTGTAGTAATCAATCAGACTGCCATTATTGTTTCGGATTTTTCCTGCCAGTGCTTCTTTCACGAAGTATCTTCGGTTCTTCTAACCACTCCAGGCTGCTCTACTCTTCCTTTCCAATGAAAATTTCCTACCTCAGTCGGTTCTGGATGGGGTTCTGGATTCCATCTATGGTCTTGTGCAATGTAAAGGCGCCACAGGAAGCCTCTTTAACTGGGTAACTTCTAGCTCCCTTTAAGGTATTCCAAACAGTTATAGGCTGAAGACGGACTTACAAGCTTTCTGTAGTGATGCTTCTGGCTATTCCTTTCTCCCCCATCAAGTGTCTATTTTACAATGGCAGGCAAAGGAAACCAAGATTCAAAAGACAGCCAAGCATC